CAGGCCTCTGGTAGAGGACCCAAGCTTAGAGAGGGATATCTGCCCGCGGAGGGCAAAAGGTGTGTTACATTTATTTTAAAACCAATATTATGTAAATTTGAGTTCACATTTTTACTTCGGCCTTTCAAAACATTTTCACTTTCTCAGTCCCCTGTAAAAAAAAAATGGCCCACCCTAGATCTAGACTATTGGTTTTCCTAATTGTCAATTACTCTGGTGATATGTGATCTAAGGTACGTGCGCGCCCCTAGGAAGCATTATAGACTGTAAATACTGCACATCTGTATTTTTTCAGTTCTGACACTCGACACGTGACTTATGAGCTACGACTCGTATTTCATCTAATCTTGTGTAGTAATAATAAAGGTGGATTTTTTGAATCATCATCTAAAATGAATTATCTGTGTTGTATTTGAAGGGACCCTCAGGATTGCCAGGCCCTCCAGGGCAAAAAGGTGAAAAGGTTTGTTCTGTTTGTTTTCATTTTTGGGACTGATGACGTCAGGTAGTTTTGTTGACTTTTAATACTGACTGACCCAAAATGGACAATGGAGCTGGATTGGCATTCCTTTTCAAAAAACAAAACGCACACGTACACACACACACAGCTTCATAACTGTTAATACTAAAAATGAAATACAAGTTCACATGTTTTAGATGTGAACTGACCTGTCCCCATAACTGCAAGTTGCAGATTTAATTGTTTCACGGAGTGACAGGTGTGTACTGGGTGCATCTCTGACTGCCACCCCCCGACCCGGAATGGACTAAGGGGTAGAAAATGGATCGATGGATGGAGTAACAGGTTAACTTTTAAGCAGCTGCTTTATCCGATTGAAATGCCAATGTATGCGCATTTATTTTCAGTTTCACATCAGCCTTCATCCATGGACTTTGATTGAAATGTCCTTTAATTTCAGTCAATATTGTGGGATATAGAGTCAACGCTAAAGTGTATGTACCCTGTCAAAGCGTCACAGAATTCCGTGACATTATCAGACTAGAATATATATCAGTCAGTATCAACAAAGCAGCCCTTCAGCTTGAAGTTGGTTGGCACTAGATCCCTTGTCTCAGTTTTCCTGCTCTTTACTGATTATCCCGTTCAATCTCTTGGGAGCGCATACAAATATTGTCACATCATACAAATATTACATTAATAAAAACACACATGGAATGCAGAATCCTTTTCCTTGCAGTTCTATTCCTTTTTTTTCTTTTCTAAATGTAGTCACCTGTTCACTGGGTCATCATGTACATTTCCTGAATTCCGTCCAATCCTCCCTTAACGTTGTTCACAGACAAGCAGACAAAACAACCAGCCAGGGGTAATAAAAATTACAATTAAATGTCACAGCCACAATGGTTTCGCACCCACTGACGCAAAAACTGAAATTGTTGCGCAATGAGAATAACTTTTTAACAAAGTCAAAATGTCTTTTCATTTTTCTTATTCGGGCATTGGACAAATTGGACTTCTTTATAATAATTATACTTCACATTAGTGATATTTACTTAATGACAGTGGAACTTATTTAATTTAGACAATTTAAGATCTGCTGTTATGTAATACATGTAATCTTCAGGGGTATGAAGGCATCATGGGCAGGACAGGCCGCACAGGATACAGAGGCCCTATTGGCCCTCCTGGAATTTCTGCTATAGCTGTGGTTAAAACCACTGAAGAAGAATGGGACATTTTTAAGGTATGACCTACCTAATTCACACATGTTGTGAATTAGGTAGTAAAAACTCAAATATCAAACTCACTTTTTTTTTTCTCAGAAAACAGAATTCTACAAAAAGTTTGTTTCGTCATGGCCGGTAGGTGTTATAAAGTTATACTTATACTGATATGTTTACTGATGGCTTTGGCTAATGGACCGTCACTTTCTGTTAAGAAAGTCAAGGGTGCTCAGGGAACACTTGGGCCTCCTGGTGATGATGGACCAATAGTAAGTGAAAACTGCACAATGAAAATGCATTGCTATGAATATAAAGTCTTGTTAATATTAGGGACCTCCTGGAATCACGGGAAAACTGGGCAGAAAAGGTGTTCAAGGTGTTACAGTAAGTTGACTGATTAATGAATGAGTACTAAAACTACTTACTAAATTCTAATCAGATATTGTGCGACAGGGTAAGAAAGGCCCAGTTGGTTTCCTCGGTCCACAAGGACGTCCAGGAGCAGCAGGGCCTCAGGGGAAGATCGGTGAGCCAGGTCCTGCAGGTTTACCGGGAGAACAGGTGTGTTCTGAGGTATAGGTTAATCACAAATAACATTATTCCTATAATGTGCTTGTGTATCTATAGGGACCAAAAGGTTTTGATGGAGAGAACGGTGTAAAAGGGGAAGTGGGTGAGTGGGTAAGACTGGCTTAGGCTTTATATCTCACTAAAGGGACAGCACATTTATTCAGGTAACCCCTTTGGTTTGACTTGTCTTCATGTATTTGTTTGAGGGTTATCAAGGAGAAGTTGGTCCGCTTGGAGTTAGAGGGGTAAAAGGACTGCAGGTGAGATTTTCTATGGAACCGTGCAAGCATTTATTGCAATATACATTTATTGTATTTGTTCATAGGGGTATAAAGGGAGACTTGGCAGTGCTGGCATACCAGGTTATAGAGTAAGTCAAAAGTATATAATATATACTTAACAGACTAAACTTTTAGTGAGTACAACTTCAAGTTCTAAAACATTTGCACAAAAGAGACCCATTGCTATCAAATATCTGTACAATGATATTTCTAAAAAATGCTAACCCTTCTTTTAGGGTTTCCCAGGACCTCGGGGCCCTCGGGGTTTCCTTGGCCCATTAGGACCTCCTGTAAGTGCAGTGAATATTAAATATATAGTGTCAAACTGAATAGATTGATAGATTGAATCTCACAGATTGTTGTTGTTTAGGGTGATGTTGGATATCCAGGCGACTTTGGACCCGCTGGTCCACATGTACGTTCTACAGTTTACCTGCTCTAGAATAAATTAAACTTTACTTGATCAATTGCATCTGTTGTGTTTTAGGGGGAAATGGGCCTCAAAGGAGAGAAAGGTGTTTTGGGCGTAAAGGGGACGAGAGTAAGTAAGATTGAAATAAATGATTCAACAAACGTACTAATTTTACACTTCACATTGTAGGGTCAGCAGGGTAAATTGGGTGTGGGAGGAACTTCTGGACCAAAGGTGACGCCATTTACAAAACACAAATATACAATGGAAATATGGAAATATGCTTTTACTGTATGTGCCTAAACGTTCGTGAACAAAGTAAAAATATATATTGTCTCAGGGAGAAGAGGGTCCTGATGGGATCATTGGTGTTCCTGGGATACGTGGTCAGCAGGTACAATATATTTTGCATTCTGTCACAAGATTAATTATTTAACAGGACTATTATTGGATGCATGTTTTTCAACAGGGACCACCAGGATCTACTGGACCAGCTGGGCCCAATGGAGACCCAGTAAGTTAGACTAAAACAGAAAAATGAAAAACAACATAGCCACCTCCGAGTGGTGTTCAGTTGTTGGACTTCTGTGCTAGTCACAGTTTGTCCATCACGAACACCATGTTCGAGCACAAGGGTGTCCACCAGAACACGTGGCACCAGGACACCCTAGGCCGGAGGTCGATGATCGACTTTGTTGTCATATCATCTGACCACGCGTCGGCCGCGCGTCTCGGACACTCGGGTGATAAGAGGGGCGGAGCTGTCAACCGGTCACCACCTGGTCGTGAGTTGGATCTGCAGGCAGGGGAGAAAGCCGGTCAGACCTGGAAGACCCAAGCGTATAGTGAGGGTCTGCTGGGAACGTCCGGGGTCCTCTGCTGAGGGCCGTCACGTCCCTGTATGACAGAGTAAGTCAGACCTGTTCCCGGTGCATGTGCTGTTCCCGGTGCTCCACAGGTCCTCTGGGACCACAGGTTTTCATCTCTGCTCTTTGCGGATGATGTTGTCCTGTTGACTCCATTGCACCAGGACCGGCTAGGATGAGGCCATGCTGCTCGACCGGGAAAAGGTGCCTTGCCCTCTCCAGGTGGGTGGAGTTCAAGTATCTCGGGGTCTTTTTCAAGAGTGAGGGAAGGATGGAGCGTGAGATTGACAACGGATCGGTGCAGCGTGCGCAGTGATGCGGTCGCTGTATCGGGCCGATATGGTAAAGAGGGAGCTAAGCCGAAAGGCAAAGCCCTCGATTTACCGGTCAATATTTGTTCCCTCCTTCACCTCTGGTCATAAGCTTTGGTTAATGACTGAAAGGACGAGATTGCTGAGTGGCTGAGCGCTCCCATCAAGATAGTCCCCCTGATCTGAACCCAAGCGGTGTTCAGTTGTTTGGATTTCTGTGCTAGTCACAGTTTGTCCATCACGAACACCATGTTTGAGCATAAGGATGTCCATCAGTGCACGTGGCACCAGGACACCCTAGGTCGAAAGTAGATGATTGAATTTGTGGACAGGTTGGGCAAACTCCTATGAACATTTGAGTATTGAGCTGGTCCAGTGTTCCACGGCCGGGACACACTGCACCTCCTGATATTCTAAATTTGACCATCGGCCGTAGTCTCCTCTCCAGTACCTTGGAGCAGACCTTTCCGGGAGGCTGAGGAATGTGATCCTACAAAGATTGGAACACACCCTTCAGTCACCCTTTTTGTAGAGAGGGACCACCACCCCGTTCTGCCACTTCATTGGCACCACCCCCGAGCGCCTTGTCCTCCACCCGGAGGCGGAGGGACGCGACCCTCTCATTCACCGGGGAGAACTCTAACAAATGGCGGCTGAAACACCAGAAAAGTGGAGCATCTAACCCCACTCAAGAAATTGGGTTCTAGAGCCCAAGCTGTGTGTGGAGGTGAGGCCGACTATATCTTGTCGGTATCTCTCAGCATCCCCCACGAGCTTAGGCTCTTCCTTCCCCAGTGAGGTGATGTTCCACGTCCCAAGAGCACAACAAGTCTTTGGATCCAAATATATAGTGTTTTTTAGGGAGTATCAGGATATGAAGGTGACATCGGGGAACCAGGGCCAGCAGGCTTTACGGTAAGAAACAAGTAGCACCAGCACCACTTTAGTTTGATTTGGGTTGAACCAAAGCTCACCACTGTCTCACTTCAGGGGGCTGGAGGAAACCCTGGGGAACATGGACCATCAGGTGATCCCGTAAGATAAATGAGACTATTTGTAAATATTGTAATAATTGCAAAGAATGGAATTCAGATCTGCACTGTGCACAGAAAACAAAGTATCATGGGATTTTGTGTTTTTCTCAGGGACTGAATGCCACAAGAGGAGAAAAGGGCACTGTCGGTTGGAAGGGTGATAAGGTAAGTTCTCTTATGTTACTATGAAATCAGTGCTGGTGTCTCATGAGGGATAATTGCAGGGGCCTTGTGGGGAACTTGGGAATGCTGGAAAGAAAGGAGCTCAAGGACCATCCGGACTTGAGGGTTTTCAAGGGATTGTTGGAGCAACAGGACTTTCTGGGCCCAGTGTGAGATAAATGCTCTCTGGTTTTATATGTCAGAGACTGTCTTTGACCAGTTCTCATTCTTAGGGACTCGATGGTGGAACAGGAGAGCAAGGAAAACAAGGAGTAGATGGACCCAAGGTAAATCTCAGAGACTCAATAAGAATAATGTTAACTAATGTTCATTATTCTGTAAGTAAAAATTTGAATTTTATGCCAGGGAGAGAGAGGGTTGACTGGTTTTGAAGGCTTGAGGGGCCCTCGAGGTGAGAAGGTAATATATCTTACCTGTTTTAGGTTATTGTAATAAGTTATTGTGTGACTGTGTGTGTGTGTGTGTGTGTGTGTGTGAGTGCGTGTGTGTGTGTGTGTGTGTGTGTGTGTGTGTGTGTGTGTGTGTGTGTGTGTGTGTGTGTGTGTGTGTGTGTGTGTGTGTGTGTGTGTGTGTGTGTGTGTGTGTGTGTGCGTGTGTGTGTGTGCACTTGTTTTCAACTCCTAGTGGGTTCCATAACCTGAGATTCCACTCACGTCATGGGGACTGGTTTTACGTGGTGGGGCCCGAACACCGGACCCCACTGGTCCAAGCTTAATAATCAATGGGTAATGCTTTTCTAACGGTCCTTATGCAGTCTCTGTAAAAATATGGAAAGGACCCCTGGAGGTTTACTTTCCTGAAAAAAGTGTGTTATGTGTCGGAACCCTGGTGGTGGGTTGCGGGATATCAGGGAGGGGCACACTGGGGCAATTTCAGTCCAGCAGGCTGGAGCCAATCATGGAGCAGCACAACAGAGGAAGTCAGGTGAAAAGGTGCAAGTGTGTGGTTCATTAGGCTGCAAGACATCATGGAGGAGCACACTGAAGCGCACGCTTACAAACCCACTGGTAAGTGCTGACTACAAGTCATGACTTCAAATTGTTATATAGAATTATTACAAATTATTTGTTGTTTGTGCAGCTTAGTCAAGAGTCCCTAATTGATGAAGTCGACTCAGATTCTGACGATTTAACTGTCAAGAAGAAACCTGTAAAAAAGTATGGAAAAAGAAAAATCAAAAACACTTTTCTTCAAGACTCGGAAAGTGACGAACCAAAGGCAAATAAGATTGTTATCATGCAGCTGCAAAAGAAGAAAAATGGGGGCAGGGTTTACAGCAAGAGACACTTCTGCCTCTACTGTTCAATGTCCTGCCACAAAATGTCCCGTCATTTGACTAGAAAACATGGAAATGAAAGTGACGTAGCCAGAGCATTGGCTCTACCTGTGAAGTCTAAAGCACGTAAACTTCAGTTTGATTTGATCAGGAATAGTGGAAACCGTGAGCACAATTTTGAGGTTTTAAAGGCCGGCATTGGAACTTTAGTCCCAGCTAAACAGCCAAATTCCCCAGTTAAATCCAGTGAGTTTTTGCACTGTATAGACTGTGGGGCATTGCTTAAGCGAAAGTCGCTGTGGAGGCATGTGGCCAGGTGCCGGCTTTCACAGAAAGATGCCCAGGCTAAACCAGGTAGAAGTAGGGTCCAGTCCCTCTGCTCCCTAGCCCAGCCTGTACCGGAGGGCATCAGCAAAAAGCTGTGGTCTTTAATTTCGGCAATGCATCAGGATGAGGTCACGGGTGTTGTCAAAGCAGAAAAGGGGATTCTGAGACTCGGAGAGCACCTGTACTTAAAACACGGGCATGATAAGACTAAGCATGATTACATTAGGCAGAAAATGAGAGAAGTCGGTAGGTTAATTAACGAAGCAAAAACCGCAGGGAAACTGAAAACAATTAAGGATTTCGTTATTCCTTCCAACTTTAACCATGTGATTGATGCAGTCAGGTCTGTGGCTGGATATGATGAGGAAACAAATCAATACAAGACTCCATCCTTGGCCCTCAAACTCGGCCATAGCCTCAGAAAGCTAGCAGATATTCTTGAATGTGACTCAAAAATGGAGCATTGTGTTGATGAACTATTTATTAAAAACCTCCAACGAAGCCGGCTGCTTTTTGAGAAGAGGTGGGACGTCTGTGTTTCTTCTGCTGCCCTACAGACCCTCCGGCAAGCCAAGTGGAACACTCCGGACCTGCTCCCTCTGACTGAGGACGTTAGAGCCATGCATGCACATATTGAGGTATGTCGACCTGAATATGTGCAAACCCTAATAAGTGAGCCAACGTCTAAGCATTGGTCTAAACTGGCAGTTTTGACTCTTTGTGAGGTCATCATTTTCAATCGAAGAAGGGAAGGTGAGGTTTCAAAGATGCCACTGACAGCCTTTACCTTAAGAAGTAAGACTGGGATCCATTCTGACATTGCTCTGGGACTGTCCCAACTTGAGAAAAAGCTGTGTCAGCATTTTCAACGCATTGAAATTAAAGGGAAAAGAAGTCGGAAAGTGCCGGTTCTTTTGACTCCTGAAATGATTGCTTCGATGGAGGTGCTGGTGGAGAACAGAAGGGCCTGTTCCATCTCTGACCATAACCCATACTTCTTTTCCCGCCCGGGCGCAGACACCCACATCAGGGGATCAGACTCCCTACGCCAGGTAGCCAAAGAATGTGGTGCGGTGCATCCAGAGATGCTATCCTCAACCAAACTTAGAAAGCACATAGCTACTATGTCTACAGTTCTCAATATGAAAGAGAATGAGATGGACATACTTGCCAACTTCCTCGGCCATGACATTCGCATCCACAGACAATATTACAGACTACCAGAGGGGACACTGGAGCTGGCCAAAATCAGCAAAGTGTTGATGGCCATGGAGCAGGAAAGAGTGACGGAATTCGAAGGAAAGAGCCTCGACCAGATACAAATTGAGCCTGAAGGTAATTCTTGATATTATTAAAATATGTATGATTTTTTTCCCCTAAAGGCCACTTGTATTTTTATTTTCTGTGCGACAGGGAGAGCAGTAGAGATCCTCTCACAAACGGACGGGCTAAAAGAAACTTCAAGCGGAGAACCTTCAACCATTCATCCAGATGCACCCCATGGTAGTGGCAGTGCCCCTTCTGGTAAGTGTACCAGGTGGGGGATTACAGCCAGGCTGCTTGGTCCTAACCCTGGGAGTGTATATTGCTAATATTTTTATTTCTCTCCCTAGAACGTGTAAGAAAGCCATGGTCTGCATCTGAGGTGAAGGCTGTGGAGAAGACCATGACACCTTTCATACAGACTGGAAAGGTCCCTGGGAAGTCTCACTGCCTGGCCTGCATTAATGCCTCACCAGATGACCTTAGACATCGGACATGGAGTGGCATTAAATTCTATGTCAAAAATAGAATCACTGCAATTCGAAAACAAAATCTAAAATAAAATTCCTTTAAAATAGTTGTTTGGTTTCTATTGACTGTTTTGTATTACTTAAAGTAGTCCCAGTAAAAAAAGATTATGTCTATGGGTCCCATTCTGAACGGCCCTGTCAAAGGGACCCACCAGGTAACAAAAACGTGTGTGTGTGTGTGTGTGTGTGTGTGTGTGCGTGTGTGTGTGTGTGTGTGTGTGTGTGTGTGTGTGTGTGTGTGTGTGTGTGTGTGTGTGTGTGCATGTGTGTGTACCTTTTCTGGTGTAATTTAACTAATCTAACAAGATGAAATATGTGCAGAAAAAATGTAAAAAAAAATTATTATAATATATAATAATAATAATTATAATAATTAATACCGCGTACATGCCACCCAGAAGAATTGGGACTCTCAGCTGACAATCTTGCACATGCAGCCCATTGGATTAATTCTAATCCGCGTGTTAAAAGAGGATTTTTTTAATTGTTAAAATGTTGATGTGTTGTTTAAAAAAATCCACCATGACCATGGTCATTGACATGTATGACTTTAATTCAGTGCTTTGATCCAACTTTCACTCAATCAATCAATCACTATATTTAAATCCAACAAGACAACTTCCTGTTGGGTTTTAACCAAGGTAGTATTTTTATTTTGTTGTACTTTTTTTCATGGCCGCTGTCATGTGGCTACATTTCAGTTGAGCTTCCATAGGCCTCATGAAAATGTACTTTTTGAGGTGGCGCTACTGAGCCATTTTTCAATTTTCTTTTCTTGGGAACTTCAGCTCACTGAGTTCTATTTGGTGATACCAGACATTGAGTACTTCTTGTATGTTGTGATTTAAGCGATTGTGAAAGAATTGTAAAAGTGCCTTGCAGGGGCTCGTCCTGTGCTCCTGCGCAGACGAACTGTGCGAGGTCAACCTGAGTCTCAGGCTGAGTTTGGTACAATAGCTCTGGAAGACCCCCTTTGTGGTACCAGTACCCAAGGGCCATCCCACTGCATGAAGACACTGGAGAGACTAGTCCTGGGACATCTCCACTCCACTCTGAGCCCAGCGATGGACCCGCTGCAGCGGGTATCGGAGTGGAGGACGCCATCATTACCCTCCTCCACCGCTCGCTGCCCCACCACTTGCTGTCCCACCTGGAGAAGCCCGGCTCCGCTGAGAGGATTCTGTTCTTCTATTTCTCCAGCGCCTTCAATACCATCCAGCCAAGGCTCTTCATGGACAAGCTTGAGACAGCAGGAGTTGACTACGACCTGTTCGAGTGGATCCTGAACTACCTCACAGACAGACTCCAGTTTGTGAGAGCCAGGGACTGCGTGTCTGAGGACCTGACCTGCAGTGTAGGGGCTCCCCAGGGGACCGTTCTCGTGCCATTCCTATTCACCCTCTACACTGCAGACTCTACCTGCTTAGGACGCTCAGGTCTTTTGGAGTGCAGGGGCCACTCCTAAAGACCTTCTATGACTCTGTGGTGGCATCAGCCTCTTGTATGGTGTGGTCTGCTGGAGCAGCAGCATCACAGAGAGGGACAGGAAGAAGCTGGACAAGGTCATCAGGAAGTCCAGCTCTGTCCTGGGCTGTTCCCTGGACACAGTGCGGCAAGTGGGGGACAGGAGGGTCCTGGACAAACATCTATGCTGGACCATGACTATTACCCCCTGCAGGACACTCTGGCTGCTCTGGGAGCAGCTACAGTGACAAAGTATTCACCCTCCCTGTGTGAAGGAGAGATTTTGCAGGTCCTTCCTTCCTGCTGCTGTCTGACTGTATAACGAGAACTGCTGAGTCTGTACAAGTGTTACTGATAATATAATTCACTATAGTCACTTAGTCACTTTACCTGTTATTATTATCATTACACCATTTTACCATCGTATTACTTACTATTATTTTAATTGTATTATCTTAAATAATAGTAAGTAAATAAGTAAGTACATTTTATTTATAGAGCACCTTTCACAGATAAAAATCACGAAGTGCTGTACAATGTATAGACCATGTTAGGTAATAGACCATGTTTGATGTGTGCAATCTGAGTTCTCTTAAATCCTTCTTTTTCTCTGCTGTAATGTGCCCAATGATGACACTGACATTTCCCCACTGTAGGACAAATAAGGGAATATCTTCAAAATCAAAATCAAGTGGATTCTTGCAAAACCTTTTATCCACTTTGCAACCACTAATTTCATTTTGTGTTTTACTGTCCAGGGTCGAGAGGGGCAGTTGGGCTTTACTGGAGTGCCTGGTCCAATTGTGAGTGCCATTAACTTTTTTTTTTGTGATCTACATTGGCATATTGGTATTATTTATTGTAATGAGCAATATTGTATGTTTTTTTAGGGAGAGATGGGGAAATCTGGAGATGGAGGGCTGGAAGGAGAGCCTGGTATTAAGGTTCCTATCTATATTGAAGAAAATATAAAATGTAAAATCCTTTGAAATTATTAGACAATCAACTCAACCACATGCCACCTTGTTGTCTAACTATTTCCCCATGTTACAAATGATTAAGCATGAACAAATTATTACTTAATGTATGTATTTCTTTGTGTAGGGAAGAACTGGCAATAGAGGAGAATCTGGTCCTAAAGGCCTGAAGGTGTGTGCATACTTTTGTATTGTTTTGTGTTAAAGGAATGTTTTCATACATTCATTTTTCCTTATTATGGCAGGGCATAAGAGGCCATCCAGGAAACAAAGGCCTGGAAGGAAGTCTTGGATCCCAGGTAGGATTGTTATCATGTAACATAGAATTAAATGATATATTAGCTATGTCATGCACCTTAATTTCAAACTTCATATTTGTATGTACCGTTTTTATTCTAGGGTTCATCTGGTAGTGACGGTTTAAATGGGGACATTGGGCCATTAGGTCCAAAAGTAGGTCTGCCTGGTTACAGCCTTTCTCAGCTTTGCACTATACTAATTGATTTAATGTGTTCAGGGGATCACTGGACAAACAGGTTCTTCTGGTCTTCAAGGGCCTGTAGGAAACAGTGTGAGTCATGTTTATCTATGGGTATAAAATATGAAAGAAATCAGTGACCCTAACCTAAATCAACATGACATGTACATTTCTCCAGTGTGAAATCTTATCTTATCTTAACATTCACTCTCCCAAACAGGGTGAAAATGGCAATATAGGAGATAAGGGAGACTTTGGACTGCCAGGCATCAGAGTAAGTCCTGTTCCCAAAATATTTCATTTGATCTTCTCTGCATGTGTGTGCACTTCATTTATCCCCTATACTGATATGAATAAAGTGCACGTTCTCGACCGGTCAGATGAATGGTCTGTTTTTGTTTCAGGGTATGAAAGGTAAACCTGGCCCAAGCGGACTCAGAGGAAGTGATGGACTCAAGGTCAGTTTAATTGATTGTATTTTACTCTTGCCTTTGAATGCAAAACATTTTTAGAGGGAAATAAAGAAAAAGAGCAGGAGCCAAACCACACTGTCACAATTATTTTTGCTACCTTTTTATCACTGCTGTATGTCATAATTATTCGGTACATAATGAGTTTGGGTTCCTTGTTTCCACTATGGTTTCACTCTTATCCATATCATGTAAAGATAAACAATAAAGATTCATTGTCTTTCTAAAATCTGTTGCTTTTCTATGGAGTAGTTTTTGGCTTTCTACGCCAAATGCATGAGCATTCTAGTTGTCAGTTTAGAATTCCGAAACGTATTTATTTATCTGAAACAGGACAGTGCACATTAATCAACATTATGAAAATGTGCCTGCGTTAGCTATTAAGAAAATTTTCATCGGTGGTCCGGTAGTTATTGAGGAACTGTCCGAGATAGAGAGCTCATCTTAGGCTTGATATGAAGATAATAAAAATGTAACGAACAGAACCTCCAACATGCACTGGGGCGGTTTAGTAATACTGCCATACCAAAATCACTGCCAGTTCCAGTTGGATGGATCGATCTATTTTTAAACATAAACTAAATCCCCAATTAATCTTTTTTTAAGGGTGTGAAAGGGGTCAATGGAGAAACTGGAAAACAAGGTTCATCCGTGAGTAAAATGAGATTTCATATGTACCTTTGCATGTAGCCGACTTTTCATGCATACGTGTGTGTGTGTGTGTGTGTGTGTGTGTGTGTGTGTGTGTGTGTGCGTTTGGTTTTCGTTAAAGGGAAAGATGGGTGAATCTGGCCCTCGGGGATACAGAGGACCTCAAGTAAGAATGATTACAGTACATGTTATGTAGGTTGTGATACATCCTCATTAATTGTAATTATTCCCCACAGGGAGTGCCAGGCAATTCTGGAGCCACGGGTGAGGCTGGTCCGCAGGGTGCTCCAGGGGAACCGGGCCCAAAAGGTCAAGTAGGGGCTGTTGGGATGAAAGGAACCCAAGTGCGTTTGTTGGGGGCAAATACACTAATACAAATGTGAGTAGTGCACAAAATATACACATTAAACTTGATTTTATTCAGGGAAAAGATGGACCCCAGGGGACTCCTGGACCATCAAGCGGAAAAGGCGATAAGGTATTTATTTATCAAAACTGTACAATCTGACTTGAGTTTATAGCTGCACAGATATACAGACAAATATACATTTACATTCCTACTGTATCATGTGCGCTGGGTCAGCTGTGCTTTTCCACCAGGATGTAGAACATGATGGTCTGTGACCATGGTTTGTGACTGTGTCACAGAGCACCAGCCCCTCACTGATACTCCTGCAGGTGCTGAGTCCACAGGAGGACAGCTGCTCTGTCAGTAAGAGCAGAGCCTTGAACTTTCAGCCGGGGCTTCAGGCAAAGTGGGGTTAAATGTCATTCCCAAGGACACAAAGACAGCAGATCTGTGGGAATGGCAATCTAGGCGTATAAGATTATTACTTTCTTCCTCATTTAGGGGTCTATTGGAGCTGTGGGAGACAGTGGAATCTCTGGTATGGATGGTGAGGAGGTAGATTAATCAATAATAATAACAGGAATGCATTCCATTTAATATTCAGTCAGCCTAATGGCACAATATAGACAGATGGAATGATTAGTAAAACTGTATCACTTTGCAACGTTTTAGGGTCTTTCTGGATTAAACGGTCAAGAGGGAGCGACAGGACTGAAAGGAGATTTTGTAAGTACACAACACTTAATTAAGTACAAAATACTCTTAATTGAGAATGGAGCATATTTAAAATCTTTAGGGCAACAAAGGAAGTATTGGACACCAAGGTCAAAAGGGGGAAAAAGGGTCAGATGGAGAAAGGGGAAAACACGGTCTGCTCGGCACCAGAGGGTCCCCTGGAAGACAGGTACTTTTTAATGAATTAATCTCTTTTTTTCCAAAAGTGGCTACAGACTATAGGAGTTTTAGCTTGATTTTAGCTAAATTTTCCTCTCCATGGTGAGATGCGCTGCTTTTCAATGTAGGGACAGATCCTGTGGCCCACATTGACATGTCACATGCCAAAATCATGAATCACACCACGCATTTCTTTTCCACTAACCGGCAAAACCTGGAGAGTCCGTACCCCATCTTATAAAAGGTTCACAAAAGGAAGCAGAAGGAAGGGCAATTTCAAGTGTCTTAGGTCCATGTGAGTTTTCAAAGTTTTCAAAAAAAACAGATCATCTGTAGACAGAAAAACATGTTTCAAATGCGTATGGAAAATGCACAAGCGATTAGTAGCTGGACTGGACCAGAGTCCAGACTGGACCCCATGTAAAGATCCTGATTATTCCTGGAGCAGTCCTTCATGGGTTCAGGGTCCATGTTATGAGCACAAACATAAAGATTTTGTTTTGTAGACCACACAACAAAGAAACAGACAAACGTTTGTTTCAAAAACCTTTTTACCTTCTATTGTATGAGAATTCAATATTTTACACATATTAGTATATTCAGGGTAATATCCCTAATAGTTGGTGAACATTCACCCAGCCTCAGTGGCTACAATCTGGAGATTTGTGTTCATTAACATGCACTGTCTCAACCAAATAATCAATAATTAGACACTATAAATAGACACTCGACATTCGACAATAATTATAATTGGTCATCTGCCCCTTATGGACCAATGGCTCTATGTGTTTTTTTATCATTACATGTGTTTGAACTCTATACTCTCCATCGGATACTCGAGGGTTCATGGGAGTTCGGCCAACCTGTCCACATGTGCTTTACGGATTTGGAGAAGGCGTTGGACCATGTTCCCCGGAGTGTCCTTTTGGGGGGTTCTCCGGGAGTACGGGGTCCGGGGTCCTCTGCTGAGGGCCATCCGATCCCTGTATGACCGGAGCCAGAGCTGTGTTCACATTGCCGGCAGTAAGTCAGACCTGTTCCCAGTGCATGTTGGCCTCCACCAAGGCTGCCCTTTGTCACCGGTTCTGTTCACTGTGTTTATGGACAGAATTTCTAGGCGCAGCCAAGGGTCAGAGGGGTTCTGGTTCGGAGACCACAGGATTTCATCTCTGCTGTTTGCCGACGATGTTGTCCTGTTGGCTCCAACGAACCAGGACATGCAACATGCTCTGGGACGTTTTGCAGCCGAGTGTGAAGCGGCTGGGATGAGAATCAGCACCTCCAAATCCGAGGCCATGGTGCTCGACCGGAAAAAGGTGCCTTGCCCTCTCCAGGTGGGTGGAGAGGTCCTTCCTCAAGTGGAGGAGTTCAAGTATCTCGGGGTCTTGTTCACGAGTGAGGGAAGGATGGCGCGTGCGATTGACAGGCGGATCGGTGCAGTGTGCGCAGTGATGCGGTCGCTGTATCGGACCGTTGTGGTAAAGAGGGAGCTGAGCCGAAAGGCAAAGCTCTCGATTTACCGGTCAATCTTCGTTCCCTCCCTCACCTATGGTCATGAGCTTTGGGTAATGACCGAAAGAACGAGATCGCAGATACAAGTGGTCGAAATGAGCTTCCTCCGCAGAGTGGCTGGGCGCTCCTTTAGAAATAGGGTGAAGAGCTCAGTCACACGGGAGGAGCTCGGAGTAGAGCCGCTGCTTCTCCACGTCGAGAGGAACCAGTTGAGGTGGCTCGGGCATCTGTTCAGGATGCCTCCAGGACGCCTCCCTGGGGAGGTGTTCTGGGCACGTCCCACGTCACGGAGGAGGCCCCGGGGAAGACCCAGGACACGCTGGAGGGACTATGTCTCTCAGCTGGCCTGGGAACGCCTTGTGGTCCCCCCGGACGAGCTGGAGGAAGTGTGTGTGGATAGGGAAGTCTGGGCGTCTCTGCTTTGACTGCTGCCTCCGCGACCCGGCAACAGATGAAGCGGAAGAAAATGGATGGATGGTGTTTGAACTGATTGATTATCTGATTTGTAGTCTTATCAACTTTGCAGTCCTCCGAGATAACTACTCTTGTGATTTAGGGCAATACAAATATAAAATAAATGGTATTTGAAAAGGAGAAGAAACAACATGAGGAAGCCTTTTTGTTAACCAGACCCACAGATTTACACAATGCATTCTGCTTTCATAGGTTTCAGAAAGTAAGGCAAGGCAAGGCAAGTTTATTTGTATAGCACAATTCATACACAAGGCAACTCAAAGTGCTGAACAAGATAGCATTAAAATCATAAATAATCACAGAACATTAAAAAGAAAGATAAAAATATAAAATCCCTCAGTTGTATGCACAGCTAAACAGCACCGTTTTTAACTTGGTTTTAAACATTGTCAGAGAGGAGGCCTGTCTCACATCTTCAGGAAGAATGCTCCAGATTTTAGCAGCATGAATCTGAAAAGCAGCCTCCCCATGTTTAGTTCTGACTCTGGGCACTAACAGGAGTCGAGTCCCTGTGCTCCTCAGAGTCCGGGCTGGTTCATATGGGACTAACATGTCACTAATATATTTTGGTGCGAGGCCATGGAGAGACTTGTACACAAGCAACGCTGTTTTAAAGTCTATTCTCTGAGCCACAGGAAGCCAGTGCAGAGACCTGAGGACCGGACTAATATGGTCGTACTTCCTGGTTCTAGTCAGGACTCGAGCTGCTGCATTTTGAATGTACTGCAGCTGTTTTACAGCCTGTTTGGACAGACCTGTGAGCAGGCCATTGCAGTAGTCTAACCTACTGGAGACAAATGCATGGATAAGAATCTCCAAGTCTGCTTTAGACACTATGTTTTTGATCCTGGAAATGTTTTTTAGATGGTAAAAAGCTGCTGATGTTACTGATTTGATGTGGCTATTAAAATTTAAGTCTGAGTCCAGTATTACCCCTAGATTTCTGACCTTGTTTGAAGGTTTTAGGGAGAGAGACTGTAGATGACAGATGACGCTCTCTCTTTGTTTCTGGGGACCAAAGACAATCATTTCAGTTTTGTCTGCGTTTAGCTGAAGGAAGTTGTTTTGCATCCACTCACTGATCTGTTGGATACAGTGAAGGAGTGAGTCCACTGGTCCATGTTCTCCTGCAGTCAGTGAGACATAGATCTGAGTGTCGTCTGCATAGTTATGATAGGAAACTTCGTTTCTGCGTATTAACTGACCTAACGGCAGCATGTAGAGATTGAAAAGAAGAGGTCCCAGGATCGACCCCTGTGGTACTCCACAGGTCAGGGCCATATGATCTGAGACACAGTTTCCAATCTCCACAAAGTACTTCCTGTCTTCAAGGTAAGACCTAAACCAACTTAGGGCGGTGCCAGCGACGCCAACCCAATCCTCTAGTCTCTGTAAGAGGATCTCATGGTCGACAGTGTCAGAGGCAGCACTCAGATCTAACAGGATTAGGATTGAGACTTTGCCTGCGTCAGTGTTTAGCCGGATATCGTTTGTAACCTTGACGAGAGCAGTCTCCGTGCTGTGGTGGGGTCTAAAGCCGGACTGAAACATATCAAATGAGTTGTTGATTATAAGAAATCTATTTAGCTGTTGGTAGACAACTTTTTCAAGGACTTTCCCCATAAATGGCAGATTTGAGATGGGACGGTAGTTGTTAAGTACCGTAGCATCCAGACTGCTCTTTTTAAGCAGGGGCCTGATGACTGCAATTTTCAGGGCCTTTGGGAATATTCCAGAATGAAGGGACATGTTTACTATCTAAGTAGTAGTTACTAAGTAGAGGCATATCTGATCAGACAATCCTTTTCTGTAATCGCCAATAGTGTCTACAACCGTGAGAATAAGTATTGTGTCAACATATCTTCATGTCAGTTGTCTATTTACTAATTTTGTGATGTAAGGCAACCTTGAGAATCTAGGAAGGCTAATAAAGAAATACAATGTATTATTATAATTACTACTGTGTCACACTTGAAAAAGACTAAAAACTCCTGTACACTGTAGCCAGCTGAAGTTTTGATGTAATGTAAATAGCCTCATAATTCATGAAATATCAACGTGCCCTTTAATTTATTTACAGGGCTACACTGGTATACCAGGTGAAAGAGGGAATCAAGGACATTTCGGATCGAAGGTGAGACCATATACAGTGTGGTATCGGGTTATACCCATAGACTATCGATGAATATACAGCATATGAGGGAATACAGCACAACCATGGATCTGTTATGCAAAACAGCAGCACATTTGAACTGAGTCACCCATGGAAAGACATTGCCCCCTAGTGGTGGCAATAGCTCAGTGCAGTGATCTCAACTGGACAGCGACAGTACTGTGAATGTGAATCGGACAAAACATTTTTGCTTATTTCCACAATTGTGAAGACACATACTGGCTATTTACAATCTAACAGTGAGTTTCATGTTAGAGACTTAAAATACATACAGTTCAATTAATCTAGAAGCTTCCGAGGACATCAATATTTAGGCTTTCTCACATCATATTCGTTTTGTATGTATGTACACTTCATGAAAAAACTGTGTATATATAGACTTGTGCTTTTAGGGTAAGAGAGGTCAGAGAGGCCCTAGAGGAAAGTCTGGGTTCTTTGGGCCTGGGGGCAAAACTGGATCATCTGGTGCAAAAGGGCAAAAGGGCTATGTCGGCCTTACCGTAAGTTCTTATACATGTGAACAGATACAGAATATTTTGGGCGTTGTACTACCTAGTTATTAAAACTCTGCCATTTATTTTCATTTCAGGGGCCAACTGGAGCTGTAGGCTTTTCTGGACAAATTGGACCAGTGACCTCAGTATGTATTATTATGTAGTTTGTAATACAACATTATATTACTTATGAATATATTATATCTTCTAAAGGGTTTACCAGGTGAAAGCGGTCCTTATGGTAAAAAGGGTTTGCCTGGACCAAAAGTATGAACCGTTTCTTATTCATAAGATAGCTGATGCCGTTCTTATACATGCTGAATGTTCTCTGTGCCTTTATCAGGGAAGTCATGGGGAGAAGGGCAAACCAGGATTGTTTGGCCAAAAAGGCAACATGGTGGGATATTCTAGTAGCCTCAAGCTGATCCTCTAACGACCATGCTTAATTATAATCAGAAGTGTGACCACTCTGTTTATGGTCTGTCTAGGGCATTAAAGGGGAAACGGGTGTACAAGGAGAGAGTGGGTCACGAGGCAGTTTGGTAACAGAATTAATACAAATCTTAAAATGTTCTCTGTGATTTTGAAGTGTAATTTGTGTCTTTTTAGGGTAAATATGGAAAATCAGGTTTAATCGGCCCACCAGGGATTAAGGGCAATACTGGAGCCATGGGTCCTCGTGGACATTCAGGATCAGCAGGCCCACAGGGACCAAAGGTCAGGCCAATATAGTTGTATTCCATTCATTGGCTACAGTGGGGTGGCTGCAGCGGTAAAGTGCTATACTGCTGTTGTGTCCGTCACCCACATTGCCAGTATGAGTCTGGTGTGTGTGTGAACGATTCGGGAAGGTCGGAGAGGTCGATGGCACGTACTGGTTGCCTCACTTCTGTAATTTTGCCCAGGGAAGCTGTGGTTAAATTAGAAGTTTATCATCACTGTGTATGGAGTGAATGAATAATGCCATGTGAAGTGTCTTTGAGCATCCAACAAGCACTTCAAAAATAAGATATTATAACATGCATAAATATTATGCGTATCTATAAAACACTGTGCTTCTGTGTAATGTTGACTTCTGATCAGTTGTGTTTTTTGTCTCTAAAGGGAAATATGGGGCAGCCAGGAAGAAAGGGAAATAAAGGGGTTCAAGGCAAACTTGTGAGTTCTCTATTCAAGGAAATATACAAAAAATAACAATAATTCAATTATGTATTTTTGGTGTATTTGTTAAATACATCATTTTTTTATCATGATGGTTGTTAAGCACATGGACATACATCATATTTGTGTTGCACTGTTATCAGGGACCTGGAGGGGTCCAGGGAAGACCAGGATTATCAGGACAACATGGGAATCCAGCAAGTATCTTATTGATGCTTAGTATGGTCCATAATCCATGCTCATTTTGACTTTTCATAATATGTGACTCCCAGGGCCTTTCTGGTTTGGATGGATTACTCGGAGTTGAGGGTAATGAAGGTGATCTTGTAAGAAAATTTAAATCTTTATATTTTTGGTTGTCCAAACAGTTGTGTCATTATTGGATGTTTTTTTAGGGGGACATTGGCTTTAAGGGTCCCCATGGGACAATCGGCCTCCCGGGAGTCAGGGTGAGTTCCATTCTCAATTCAGTCATCTTTGGACAGACGTTAGTTTGTCTGTTGTCCACTATTATGAAGATGGTTTTATTAGATTAGTTTTCACTAAATGCGTGCACAAGAACACTGTCAATAAAGCATGTGTAAGCTTTGATCATTTTGTTGCTTTATTTAGGGCAAAAAGGGATCACCTGGAATTCCTGGAAATGTTGGTGTTCAAGGATCCAAGGTGAAAGTGTTGTATAATCTTTAATTCATTGCAAGTGATTTGATCAAAAAATTATTATGCAGGGTCCAGATGGACAAGTTGGAAAAAGGGGACTTGGAGGACCAATGGGTCCAAGAGTAGGGTTTTTTATAGTTCATTGAGATTGATTTGCATCTTTGTTGTGTAAATATTGCTGAAATAAATTTGCACGCAGGGCCTTCCTGGACTAAGAGGTGAAAAAGGAAGAGTAAAGGCAAAAGGTGCAAAGGTAAAAGATGGTGGGTGTAAGTGTAATTTTGTGGAACCGGAGTAATCCCTCATTTGTGCAAGTATTGTTTTATCTGTGTTATTCCCTAAAAAGTCTTAAAGGTGCTGAGAAGTATAACTTGACATGTCCTCGTGGAGAATGTATATTTTCTGTGTGTGCAGCGTTGAGTAGAGCATTTCCTTTGCCATCTTCACATGTCTTTGTTCCCTCTCTTTGACTTCAGGGCAGAATAGGTGGCGCTGGGTTACCAGGGCCGATTGGTCCTTTAGGACTCAAAGTAAGTAACATCTGTAGTAATTCATCTCCTGAGTTTGAATCATTTCTAATATACACCACAGGGCAGTTCCGGGACAGAAGGTTTAAAAGGTCAAGAGGGTCTAAAAGGAAACAAGGTGATATCTGCGATTAGTTCTTGCTCCTACGGGTTTTATGGGTAGAGTATCTCAGGCCTTCAAGTCTCTTGTGTTCTCACAGGGGGACACAGGGCCCAGCGGGCCACCAGGACAACATGGACTCGTAGGGCAGGCTGTAGGTATTTCACTTTCTTATATACTTTTTCCTGAATAGTAAAGTTTTTTTTTATTCTTTTAATTTATTTTATTAAACAAGGGAAACCATGGAAAAAAGGTCAGATATATTATTTATTTCAAATACAAACATATCTGTCATCAAAATATTGTTGTTGTTTATTGTTTCACTGGCGTATCTTTAAAGGGTATAAAGGGTAATGAGGGGAGCAAAGGATCAAAAGGCCAAAAAGGAAAACGTGGACTTCCTGTAAGTGTGTGTGTGTGTGTGTGTGTGTGTGTGTGTGTGTGTGTGCTCATAAAAGCAAACTTTTTTTTATTTGTTTTAATATTTATTTTGTTTCAAATGTTCCACAGGGCAAACCAGGGGCTCATGGACATCAGAGGCTCAGACAAAGACATGTGAGAGCAAGGCCTGAAGAAGATCCGGTGACCGAAGGCCACCAAAAGGTTGGTTCAAGCGGTAACTACTACTACTACAAGCAGTAGTTGTTCTTATATTGCTGTATTTACTTCTCTTTGTTCACATTCAAAGACTCACAGACAACGGCCCAAGAGGTTACAAACAAATGATCAATCTTCAATCTGGCCACTCGGTACTGAAGAAAATCCAGCTACAACCTGCCGTGAATTAGGACTAGAACAACCGCATTTGACTGATGGTGATTATTGAAGTCATTCAAACGCAAAATGACACGGCTGTAGCACATAAATAATGCAGATATTTGTTAGGTTACTATTTCATGGACCCAAACCAAGGCTGTCCATACGACGCTTTAAAGGTGTTCTGTAACTTCACGGCTGGAGGTACAACATGTTTAAAACCTCAAAACCCACAGGTAAAATAATTACATTCATTTCTATATTTTAAAAGTTGCAACAAACAATTTTTTTGTGTTTTTTGTTTCATTTGCAGAAAAATATGCAATGGAAACTTGAGAAAAGTTCAATCAGCTGGTTAAGTCAGGAACACGGGGGAAACAAAGTAAGTACACTGCAAAAACAATATAAAATATTACCAATGGGACAAGCTGTTTATCTTTATTTCATGTTTATTTGTAATTTATTCATCATTCAAAGGGAGATTTTTCTTGTCTCATATAAAACAAGAAATTGCCGCTTGTCCATTTTTGCAGTGAACGTGATTAGCTGCTCCTTTAATAATGCACATCATTGAATTTGAATATCAAGTTCAAAAGGACATGTACTCCTGAAGTCAAACTTAAATTGGGACACCAGGGGGTCACGTGATGGCGGCGAGGTGAATGCAACGTTTTGACCAGGGCTCCGTGCCGCTCACATAATTATCCTGTCTTCAACCACATATTGGAAGTTACTATGCTATGAAAGTCGCGTGTTATGTCCTTAGAAAGCTTCTGGCCACAATCGTTTAACGAAATGAAGACAAGCCGTGTGAACAAAGACAAGAAGGACACTCTCTCTGAAGTCGCTGAGGGCGCTCAAGATGGAGGCCAGGCTGATTCTGACATACCCGATGGATTAGACCCTGCTCTTGCTAAAGCGCTCAGCCTTATGACGGCCAATATTATAAAAGTGATTGATGAAAAACTTAGTCCACTGGCTGAGACTATTCACAAACACGCCGCGGAGCTCCAGACTGCCAGTAAACGGCTTGACGAAGCAGAGGCTAGGCTGCTAGCTACAGAGGAGGCAGCTGCCACGCATGAGCCCCGTATTATCGAGCTGGAAAAGCAGGTCAGTGCCTTGAAGAACAGTCTGGACATGGCGGAAAACTACAACAGGCGCTTAAATATTCGTGTCGTTGGCCTGGCAGAAGATACTGAGAAGGGACAACCGGTGGATTTCTTTGAGACTTGGCTGCCCAATGTGTTAAAGCTGACCACCAAAGCCGGGCGCGTAAAGCTCGAAAGAGCCCACCGCTCCCTCGCACCGAAACCGGACCCAGACAAACGTCCCAGATCGCTACTGCTCCGGTTCCACTCATTCCGAGACAAGCAGAGAGTAATGGAAGCGGCGCGCAGAGCCAGCAATGACGGTGGTTTGATTCACAACGGTTCCAGGCTGTCATTCTTCAGTGATTTTTCCTCTGCGGTGGTGAAGAGACGTAAAGAGTATGATGCGGTGAAGCAGCTGCTGCGGGAGCGTGGGATTCCTTATGCCATGTTGTTCCCAGCTACTCTCCAGGTGACCCATGGAGGCTCCAGAAGGAAATTCACTACACCAGGGGAGGCTCACGACTACATAGACACCATGTCTGGATGACATTTCACCGCAGCTCATTGCGGTTCAATTTTATCCTCTCACGCGACAGTTATTTTTCATTTTAACATTTTTGTGACGTTTGTACTTCCATAATACCGGTAAGCTAAACCCGTTCTCTTTTTCTATAACATTCCATGTCGAGTGGCGCGGCTGCTCGTGGTTTGAAAACATTCTATATACTTTTTCACTGTTGTGAACCTGGAAGTTGTTCGTATGGCGGACGGCCCCTATCTCTTTGGGGAAGGACCTCTGTTTTATTTTTGTTTTGTGCATTGCACTTGTTATGTGTGTGTAGTTCAGTTTGTGTGTTTCGCTCAGGACATGTATAGGCAATATTTAATTACCCTGTTGATGTGGCATTCTCTTCCACCCCTTAATGCTCTAGGTTTTTGATTTTATGGACCATGTAACATATGCACTAAGTAAACAGGGGGCTGCGAAACAGGCTCACGCTAGCTACCTTTTCTTTATACCCAACAGTATAGATGTCAAATTTAAATACAATTAAGCTTTGCTCCTGGAACGTCCGGGGCCTCCAAAAACCAACTAAGAGACTGGCTGTAATGTCATATTTGAAGAAACAAGAGGTCTCAATTGCGTTTTTACAGGAGACGCATTTAGAGGACAAGGATATCACTAAATTGCAGAGGGGCTGGGTGGGGCATGTTTTTGCAGCTTCCTATTCCTCTTTCAGCAGGGGTGTGATTATTTTGGTCAGCAAAAAGCTAGCATTCAGATCCCTTACCTGTGTCAAAGACAGTCAAGGCCGTTATGTAATTGTTGAGGGAGTTCTGTCCGGAAAAAGTGTAACATTTATGAATCTATACTGCCCACCTGGCTACTCTCCTGAGTTTCTAACTAAAGCTTTTACAGCTTTTTCCGATTTGGCAACTGGTGATTGCTTTGTGGGGGGAGACTTCAATTGTCATCTTAACCCCTCTCTTGATAAATTACCCTCAGGTTTGTCTCTCCCTTCTGGGCAAGCTAAAATGCTTACTTCTTTATGCCGTGACATGGGTTATTCTGATGTTTGGAGGGAGCTCCATCCCTCCAACTTAGAGTTTACTTTCTTTTCCTCACCCCAAAAAAGTTATACCAGGATCGACTACTTTTTTATTCCCTCCTCTAAAATGTTTCTTGTTCAGTCCTCAACAATCGGCAACATTATCTTATCTGACCATGCTCCTCTGTATTTGGTTTACTCTCTTTCTGAGGACCGGGCTCTGTCTAGGTTTTGGAGATTTCGGTCCTCTCTGCTTAAAGATGATACATTTACCTCTTATTTTGCATCAGAACTCAAGATATTCTATTCGATTAACTCCCCATCTACAAATAATCCCTCTATCCTTTGGGAAACGTGCAAAGCTTTTTCTAGGGGTCTCATTATTTCATATGTAACATCCAAAAGGCGTCAGAAGCATGAACTGTTTAAATCTCTCGAATCCAAATTATCTGATCTTGAAAAACGTCACGTCTCTGCCCCTTGTCCAAATCTGCTAAAAGAGTTGAATGCCACTCGTGCCGCCCTGAATACACTTCTGATTCAGGATTCTGAGCACACTTTGAAATTTGCTAAACAGAGGCTTTATGAATTTGGGGACAAACCCGGTAGGTTTCTTGCTAATCTGGTTAAGAATAGGTCGGACTCTCAAACGATAGTATCTATTTTGAATGTGGACGGTACCAGGTCATTTGATACCAAATCTATTAATAAAGACTTTGCATTATTTTATGGTAACCTGTATACTTCAGAGCAGTCAGGCAATGCCTCAGCGCTCATGCAGGCATTTTTCTCAGATCTGACCCTTCCAAAAGCTACAGAGGACCAAAGACTACAACTTAATGCTCCAATCACAAAAGCGGAAGCTCTGCTTGCCCTTAAATCTATGCCTTCTGGAAAGGCTCCAGGGCCTGATGGATTCGGATGCGAGTTTTATAAGGAGTTTTGCCCCATCCTTCTTGATCATTTTTTAGCTATGCTTAACCACTCATTTGAAAATGGTATACTACCTCAATCACTTAGAGAGGCCAACATCTCCCTTATCCTTAAAAAGGGAAAGTGCCCTGATAGTTGTGCCTCATACCGGCCGATAGCTTTACTTAACGCTGATCAGAAATTGCTCTCAAAAATACTGGCTCTTCGGCTAGAAAAAGTGCTACCTCACATTATCAAGGAGGATCAGACCGGCTTCATCAAGGGTCGTAATTCCTATGATAACATGAGAAGGCTCCTCAATATTATTCAGCTGTCGCAGGGAGCCTTGGACCCGGCATTGGTCCTTTCTCTGGATGCGGAGAAGGCCTTTGACCGGGTCGAGTGGTCATATTTACACAAGGTATTGGAGGAATTTGGCCTGGGGGGCTATTTTGCAAAGTGGGTCAAGATTTTATATAATTCCCCAACCGCAGCCGTCCTGACCAACGGACTGAGATCTAGCAACTTCCCTCTTAACCAAGGCAATAGGCAGGGAGACCCCCTTAGCCCACTGCTCTTTGATATTGCTATCGAGCCATTAGCTCAGGCAGTGAGGCAGAATGCCCTTATATCTGGTATTTTAGTTGCTGGGAGGGAACATAAAATTTCACTATATGCTGACGATGTTTTGATATTCTTGTCCCTTCCTGAATCTTCTATTCCCTGCCTGACTAAATTAATCTCGTCATTTGGTGCCTTCTCAGGATACAAAGTCAACCTAGCAAAATCTGAAGCCATGCCACTGGGTTTGTCGGTCTCGGTCCCGGTCCTGGCAGAGCCCTTTCCTTTTCGATGGTCCCCCTCTGGTTTCATTTACTTGGGAGTGCATATAACGCCTACATATGAGCAGCTGTACAAATCCAATTTCCCCCCACTTCTGGACACCATAAAAGCAGACTTAGACCGCTGGGCCCCTCTGCCCCTTTCCTGGCTGGGTAGAGTTGCCCTTATCAAAATGAATATTCTGCCAAGACTGTTATATCCACTGCAAATGATCCCTATTTTACTATCAAACAAGGTTATTAAGGTGCTGGAAGGCTGGCTGAGTGCCTTTATCTGGAACAAAAGGAAGCCCCGACTTAAAATGGCAAAACTTCAAATGGCCAGTTCTGATGGCGGTTTAGATGTTCCTAATCTAAGACTTTATCAGCTGGCAGTACACCTTCGAGTGATGGCTGATTGGCTTAAACAGGATCCAGCCTCCATTTGGCTTGATATTGAATCGTCCCAATCCATTCTCCCCCCGTTTAGTTTACTCTTTATGAATAATCCTGATGGATTGAAGAAATGCTGTTCTAATCCTATCACTCTAAGCACAGTTAAGGCTTGGAGATCTATTCGTACTTTAGAAGGTCGTGCTCACCTAACATCCCCTCTTACACCTATTTTGTTTGGCCCAGACTTCTTGCCTGGCCGTCAGGGCCAGGGTTTTAAATCTTGGCATGCTTGTGGGCTGAAAAAACTGGGAGACCTGTTCATTAATCGGACTATGCTCTCCTTTCAGCAGCTCCAGCAACAATATGGTTTACAAAAGGGTGAGTTCTTTAGATTTCTACAAATAAGGCACTTTGTTATGACAGATACCACTCTAACGACCAACAGTGTGGTTTCTCCTGTGGAAAGTGCTTTGTCTTCTCAGATATCTAAAAAACATATTAGTACTTTTTACAAAGTGCTTACTTCCAACCTGCCCCTCACCTCCCAGCCTACTAAGGAGGCCTGGGAGAGAGACCTGGGTGTCTCTATAGACGAATCAGCCTGGCGGGAAGTATGGGCTCATGCTGCGAATATATCAGTTTGTAATCGAGCTAAATCTATTCAGTTTAGAATCTTACATCGTGTACACTATACACCTGTGCTCAAAAACAAAATGGACTCTAGCATCCCCCCATTGTGTTGGAAGTGTAAGACTGACATTGGCGATTATATTCACTGTTTTTGGTCCTGTGCAAAGTTACAACGCTACTGGACTGATATTGTGAATGAACTGTCCAATATATTCCGCAAGCCAATACTGCTGGACCCTGTTTGCCTTATTTTGGGCCGCCCTGATATCCATATTACAGACAGCAAACAGAAGAGGCTGTTTAAAATACTGACTTTTGCTGCTAGGAAGAACATATTGCTACTTTGGGGAAAGGATTCCGTCCCCACAAAGAAGTCATGGCACAAACTCATAATGGACTCCATCCCGAATGAGTACATTACATGTATGCTTCACTCGACATTGGACACTTTCCATAAAGTCTGGGATTCGTACTTGAAATATATTGGGCCTATATTATCTTCCCCCATTACAAGGTTATTCTGATTCAGTCTTATCAGTCTATGTTAAGTCAATTGGGACTTCCAGTCAACTGAAGGATTTGCTACCTGGGTACCTTTACTTTATCTTTTTATATATTATTATTTTATTTTTATTTTTTGTCAGTGGTTCCTGTGTATTTCATGTAGGAGTGGGGTCTGGGGGGTGTGGAGATGCCAAATTGTATTATCTCCTTTTTATTTTAAATCTATGTTGTCCTGTAGTGCCTGAGCTGTTTTTTGTGTTTTCTGTTTGTTTTAAAGGAAAAATCCAATAAAAATATTGTACAAAAAAAAAAATTGGGACACCAAGACACAATATGGATTCACTCAACACACATACCAGGCCTTTGTTTGCTATCATTTTGAGGATTATGTTTTCTACTGTTCTGAGCCAATAATGTAACAACAAATAAAGGCTTGATATATTAGTTTGTACATGGAAATACCAAAATGAATGGACTTATGGACGATGTTCTAATTTCCTCAGTTTTACTTGTATGCATGTGTATGTTTTTGCAGTTTGATTATGCAGGACTGAGTGTTGTGCAGCTGAGGTTTCTGAGGCTACACAGCCATGCATCATTTCAGCACATGACTATCAGCTGTAATCCACAGCTGCAATCTTTTGGTGGCACGACTAATTCACTAAACAGGGTTGTCTTTCATATCCGTGGAAACACTGAAGAAGAAATAATTTCACATTTTATCACTAAGAACA